TCAAATTGTGAAAATGTTCTTTGTTCAGACTGAAGCTGTGCAGCTTGTCAGAGACCAGCTGTGTTTTGCTGGGCTCAGCTCTGAAGTCCAACCGACCCGTGTGACAGAACTGGACCTGAGCAGGAATAACCTGAAGTACGAAGAAGTTCAGCCACTCAAGGATCTGGAGAAAAGTGCAAACTACCATCTGGAGACTCTAAGGTCAGAGGGCGATTTCAGTGAGTCCAGCTGTGTTGTCAGCATATTGTCCAGAACAAAGTTGGTATCAGAGCAAAGACGTTGAATTTTGACTCATTCTCAGTGTTAGGAGGAAAACTGCAGCCTTCACAGCCTGGATGAGGTTAAAGCTCAATTACACAGCTGGATGTTTTGTGAAAACCTCTGCATCTCATTTGCTCTAAGATGCTGTATTAGAATATTTGCCACACGACTGTCTGCTTGTACGTCCATAAATAAGAACAACTGATGTGCTGCGTCACTGACTGGTGCTGGAGATTCAAGCAATCACTGATCTGCTCTGTTGCTCTTTCTTCTCTCTGCAGGTGGAACTGGGAATAATGTCTGGAAACGAGGGAAGCATTTTGTGCTGCTGTGGCCTCATAAAGAGACTGTGTGGATCAAACCGATGAGTTGGAAGATTTTTGTTTGATTTTAGACGCCTGTCGTTTACTGTCTGATATTTTTGTCTCTTGATCAATAGATGAAATTCAAATTCAGCTCCATTAACGACTCACTGATCTGATCCTGGTTCATTTGGAAAGTTGATCTTTTTTCTCATGGATTTTTAGTTTGTAATAATGTCATATAAAATAAAGTTCACTTCAAAAGTTTTCAGGCTGCATGTTTGTTTATTAAATTGTGTTTTTTGGTGTTTTTTATATATTTTATATTCTTAGAGTTCAAATGATGGCTTCATTAATTAGAGGATAAAACTTTTCTTTCATGATTTTTTACATCATTCTTTCTGAATTTAATCTAAAAACTTCCTCCTGCAGCTTGTGCTCCATCAGGCACTTCTTGCTCCTGATTCTGTTGCTTTTCTTTCTGGACCGGATCTAGAAGGGAACCTGGAACCAGATGATGTGGTTTCTGTTTGTGTTCAGACTGTGGCCCTCATGTGGCCTGAAGTGGCCAAAGTGAAGCTGTTTGCTGAGATCCAGCTCCGGGTTGAGAACCTTGTGGAGCGCTGCCTCCAGGTCGGGATGGATTTTACTGGAAGCTGTTCTCCAGGAGGTGATGCCAGCAGCACAGGGAGACTCACTTTGCTCTGCTGGATGGTAAGGACCGTTCACTTTTTTCAACTAAAACATGTGAAATTAAATTTCAACTACATAAAATCAGTTTTTTATTAACAGGTAAGATCAACTGGGGTAAATTTTCAGTCATTCAAGGCAGAAAACTGGATTCCTTTTGCGATTGTAAGATGTTCTTCCTGCAACCGGCAAAATAAAGACTGTGAGCTTCAATGGAAGATGAGGAGAGTTCCCTCGTTACTCCTCTGATGTCACACTGCCCTGAATGCCAGCACTGAATGCTAGGAACTGAATGCTAGGAACTGAATGCTAGAAACTGAATGCCAGCACTGAATGCTAGGAACTGAATGCTAGGAACTGAATGCTAGAAACTGAATGCCAGCACTGAATGCTAGGAACTGAATGCTAGGAACTGAATGCTAGGAACTGAATGCTAGGAACTGAATGGTAGTTGTTTTCTACAGTCTTTAACACATTTCAATTGTCACACAGTTTTTTTGTTTGTTTTTTTTGTGAAATGCCATTTTAAATCATTTATGCTGAAGCACATTTGCCTTTTGACTTGTTCAGTCATTTGTTTTCATAATGTGTTATTTCAATATTATGTACATGTTTGAATGTTCCTTTAGTTGTAGTTCTGTTGATTTACATTATTTACTTTTTATAGAAATGGTTTCGTTTCCACACATTTACATTCTGCCTGCATTTTGTTGGAGAGTAGATCCAATAAAATAGTTGTTTATATATTGTAACTGGATCACCTTGTTTTAAAAATTTGAAATACAAGCTAAGTTAATAACTTGCAATATTTTATATGTGTAAATTCAATTTTTTAAACAATGATTTGAATCAATACAAATTTTCTTTTCAAACCTGACATACGGCTGAGTTGTTTCTCTTTTAATAGTCAGAATCAACTGTTGTTTGTAATAAAGCAAGAAGAAACAGAAACATTGTTTAGTTACAAAGTCATAATGCAAACATCAGATTAAAGGTGAGCTGAGTGAAGGTGGAGTCCAGGTGGAGGAGATGAGACCGGCGCCGTGATCAGAGGAGATGAAGATAGTTATAGTTACAATTTACACAAAGATTTAATTTATGTATCCAGTGAATTAATTCAAAAAGGTTTTCATATAGAAAATAATAACTCCTCCACAGCAGATCATTCTCTGGCAGATATCAGCGCAGCATCGACTGCTGAAGATTATTTATTGTCAATAAATAACAAATATTTAGAAATTACTTTCTGTGAGTCTTTCCAGGTTGAAGCTACATTTAAAGTTTTAAATGAATCACTTTGGGTTTTGCAATAATTGCATATTTAAGGTCTTTGGAGCGCAGTTTATGAATCGATTCCAATTGGTAGAACTGATTTGTAATTTCTAATCGGAATAGTGGGACACCGATCAGTTTAGGCATTATGGTAAACAATGATAACAGTTGAGAGTGTTAGAAGTTCTAAAGTCATTTAATTTGTTTGTAAATTATATCCACATTGTGAATAATAAGAAAATATTTGTCAAATAAACAGAACAAAAGTGTTCTGTGAATGGACAGACTAAGTTGGCCAAAAATGTTTTACTGACCAAACCTCTTTTCCATCTAGTCCTTATTAAATAAGGCAAAGGAAATTATATTTTAGACATCAAAATGTATTATTTGAACTTCAGCAGCAGCAGATATTTGTTTCTATCTGTTTTCTGAAATGAACTGCTGATCTGTGACCTGCAGCACCACTGCATGGATAACCTGAGAGTAAAATAACTAATGGATGGATTAATGTAATGTACATTTGTCTCTAAAATATGAATTTATGTTTTATGACTTTTGTTTGGAACAGTTAGGATAGAAATACATCTCCATAATGATTCCTTATTATTTCAGATTGTTTGTTACTAATATAATTTTAACATCCGAAAATAAAGATTTACTAAAGATTTAAAAATAAAAAAGGGACATACACGCGACAGACATACCACGTGACGTAACACGTCATGAAGCCATTTCTTTACTGTTTAATTTGTAATTAATTTTACATGTTGAAAGTGTTCTCAGGTGTTTTCAAAGGCGTTGTCAAATAAAATGCGTTATTATTATAGTTATTAAAACACAGCTGGTACAGGAAATGGTGTCACTAGCGCCCCCTTCATTTCCGGAATGCTCATTTCCATATAAGGTATGAGACTGACAGGTCGGCCCCGCAGCGAAGCGGACTTGGATGCAGTGAGTACAGACTTTATATCAAACTGGTTCTGACCCGTTTTCAGGCTTTTCCGGGTCAGAGGAGAGAGAACAGACCGAACCTTTCAGTCACAGTTTGACTGAAAGGTTCGGAAGTTGAAACACAGGAAGTTGAGCAGCAACTTCCTGTGTTTAAATGAATCTGTTTGTATCAAAGTGGTTTAATGTCACATATTTTATTGCTGTCGTTTAAAGCTCTGAATAGAAAGTTCGTCACTAACTCTGGAAACAAACGTCTTTATGTTTTGACGCCTGTCAGACATTATGAGCTCAAAGTTGATCAACAGGTTTGTTCTGCCAGTAGAGGCTCATGGGAAATGTAGTTGACCTCTTCTGACTCCAGAACCTGTTACAGTTGAAATACTGAAAGTTTTTTAACTTTATTTTCTTTAAGTCTAAAACATCCATCTGAACTATAAACTGTAAATATTTATTCCACAAATCAAATGAGGATTTTAGTGATAAAACAAACAAGTCATGTGACTGTAAATAGAAAATGAAACTAACTTTGTTCTGCAGATCAGGCTCCATTTAGAGACGGAGGACAGAAATAACTTGTTTTAAGACATGAGAGTTTTGTTTTTATGTATCTTAGTAGAAAAAACCAGAATAAAAACATCTGTAAACAGATTATTAGGGATAATAAGATACAAATATTAATATTTTTCTGAATAAATGTATAATATCAGCAGAATAAAGTTGTAATATTCTGATTTTATTCCAGTATTTTCATGTTTTCTTTTCTCAGTGTGTCCATAATACTCCATCATGTTAACCTGGTTTCTCTGATTATGGAAATCATAAAATGTGACTCATCAGTCCTTCCTCATCAGTCTGAGGTTCATCAGAAACTGAAGTTTCTCTGATCTGTGGAGTCAAACCAGATTTAACCTCAACAGATTTCCCTCTCTTCCTCCTCTCTGTTCTTTCTCTTCCAGTTGGACGTTGTGTTCTCTTGCAGCAGTGAGAAACTCTTTGTCTCTCTAAGCTGCTGGAAAACTGATCAGATCTGCTGAAAGCTGAGAGGATCAGATCAGATCTCTCCTCATGAGATCCATGGATCACCTGATCCTGAAGTCTCTCTGATTGTTGGTCCGTCTGGAAAATATTCCTTCCACATTTCCTGCCTCTCAACAGGAGGACTGGCAGCCCATCTGAAGGAGGTCTGGAGCCCAAAGGGTTCAGAACCCCAAAGGGTTCAGAACCGCTGCTTTAACTGAGCCCATCTGTTCAGGACCAACACATCACCACTTCATAGGAAATGTTCACTCCTTCATTCACTTCATCTGACCTCACTCTGGATGTTTCTGCAGACCTGGAACATGATTCCAGTTTAGGTTTCAGACTCAGATCTGAAATGTTCTTCATAAAGTCAGAAGTTCTCCAGAAGGTTCTTGGATCAGCCAGCAGACATCAGAAGGTCATGAAGAAGTGAAGGAGAGAACAATTCAGACCCAGATGTTACCTGCTGGAATCAGGTTCCTCTGATCCTCTGAACACGTGATGGGAATCAACTTTCTGCTGACTGGGTCACTGGGATCTGACTGGTACTGGTTTCTCTTTCAGACTTACTGAGGTCCAGAAGATGGAAGATTTGACCTAAAGGAGAACCGACCAGAACCACCAGGATCCGACTGTCCCTCTATGAGGAGTGACCGGTCCAAGGGAATACCTCCAGACCTCAGTGATGAACCAGAACCATCAGACCCAAAGTAAGAAAAAATAAGACAGATTTCAATAAGTTGTTGTTATCACTGCTATCATGTCCAAATGATGCTCTGTCGCAGCACAAGGCTCTTTCTAAAGTTCTTAGATTAATGCAAACTGGATCTGAATCCAGTTTACTGGTTTCCACCATTAAAGAATGATCCATGTTTCTACTCTGGAATCTAGATTAGAATCAGATTTTGGAGCCTCTGATGGAAACAGTTTCTGCTCTGACTCAGAATAAATAAAGATTTCAGATGATCAATACAACCAAAGAAAGATCAATCATAACAGCAAACATCATGAAATACTTCAAACCAGAGATCATCAATGTTCTGAGGTTCTGTTCTGACTCAGCTTCTGGTACCAGGACAGCTCCAGCCTGCTGTTAGTGAACTATTGCAGTGATGAAGAAATGTCTTCACAGAGGGAGGAAGAGGAGCAGCGTTGGTGAGGAAGAGCAGCCGTCCTGCTGTGCTTTGTGTCAGGAGGTTCTGATGGATCCGGTCTCTACCAGCTGTGGACACTGGTTCTGCAGACACTGCATCAGGTCCTACTGGGACCAGTCTGCTCCATCTGGACCCTCCTCCTGCCCCCAGTGTGGAAAAAGACCCAGAACAGCAGCTGGA